CATTGTCCTTACCAGATCCCCCCTAACTAAATCGACCAAGTTTACCCTTAAAAGGCCTGTTGCATGTTCTGCGACGGAGATTCCCCCCGGTATCATCTCGGAGGCTCGGCCAAGTCACGCAGACTCCCAACGTGAAAGGCGCACGCGACGGCAGCGCGGCGAACTCTACCTCCCAGTTGCCCGGCGCCCACGGACACGCCATTTCCTCGCCTCTTCAGCAGAACCATACAGACAATAAACTTGATGAACAAAAGAGAAGGAGAATTCCCTCACGGCAAAAAGGACCGCCTCTCGCAAATCGCTATCGACGCCGGAGGACAAAATCGATCTAATCCGTGAACGCAAAGAATAGCCTTGTCCAGGGATAATGACCCTTAGAAAGCGTTTCCATTAAGGGCTTTTTTCCGGCTCTCTGTGCGCGGGAAGGATTTGGGAGAGTGGCAGCTCTTTGCCTCTCGGTCTTGCACGCCTCCGAGCTTCGACGCCCACGGAAGCGGACTTTCACGAGTCCTAATTAATGAGAGGAAAGAGGGAGAGAGAGATGAGAGAGAGAAAGAGAGAGATGAGAGAGAGGGAGGGAGAGATGAAAGAGAGGGAGGGAGAGATGAAAGAGAGGGAGGGAGAGATGAAAGAGAGGGAGGGAGAGATGAAAGAGAGAAAGAGAAAGAGAAAGAGAAAGAGAAAGAGAGAAAGAGAGAGAAAGAGAGAGAGAGAGAGAGAAAGAGAAAGAGAGAGAGAGAGAGAGAGAGAGAGAGAGAGAGAGAGAGAGAGAGAGAGAGAGAGAGAGAGAGAGAGAGAGAGAGAGAGAGAGAGAGAGAGAGAGAGAGAGAAATTAAATTATATAAATGAAACCAGTGAAGAGAAACAACTAATCACCAGTCGTTACCATCATGCACGGTAACAACCAGACCGACCATACCCATTCAAGTGGCACACCAGTTATCGCCTGACCCTTCTATGCCTCTTGCCCCTGAGATCACGAGCCAAGTGAAACCCCCCCAGCGACTCCCTAAAACAAGCCTAAGAAGCACTTCCTGGATCGTGTGAGTCATCTTCCTGGCCAGCTCCGGAGTTTCCGCCACGCTCCGGCGCGTTGGCTCGAGGAAAAACGACAAGAGTAATGATGGTCATTTGGGCCCCCTTTTCAGACCATACATTTCGCGCCTGTTTCCCTTTCTTCTTCTTTCTCCTTCGCCTTCCCTTTCCCTTTCCTCTTCTTTCTCTTCCTCTTTCTCCATCTCTCTCTCTCTCCACCCCCCTCTCTCTCTCTCTCTCTCTCTCTCTCTCTCTCTCTCTCTCTCTCTCTCTCTCTCTCTCTCTCTCTCACACACACACACACACACACACATATATATATATACAAATAAACATACATATACACATACATGCATATATCTATCTATCTATCTATCTTTCTATCTATATACCTGTCTATATATCTATCTGTATATTATTTCTGTAAGAGAAAACAGGAAAACAGACGAGAGGGAAAACTGGACGGCGGGGTAACTCCTTCATTTTAAGAGGCTAAAAGACTTTAAACTTCATCCATTCGCTGGAGAAGTCTTTCCACGCTTCACAGGAGTAGCCAATTAAACCCCATTAAGCTGATGGCAAAGTCGTGGGGGGAAACGTTTTGAAAAAAAAAAATAATAATAAATAAGTATTTTTTTTCTTAAAAGCCAAGGGAAAAAAACGACATTTTTCACCTTCTTCCCTTGTTCTACCCACTCGTCCCATTCGTGTCTCCTCGTCGATCATCGTCCAACCGCCATGTTATAGCACTGTAATACCCCCCAGACGGCTTCGTCATCTTTAAGTCTAACCAGAACTCGTGTTCCAGAGCGAGGCCGGAAACCCGTTTTCCAGAAACTCTTTCCCCTCTTACTTTTAGGCAGCTCAAGCTACCATCAAAAGCACTCGCTGAAAGCCTCTCGCCCTTCCTCGTCCTCTCCTCTTTCGCGCTCTCTTTTCTTTACCTTGCCATCTTTATTCTGTTTCTTTGTCTTCCTCGTCGATGTCTTGCCTTTATCCGTTTCCTCTCCACTTCCCTCTTCAACTCACTCTTTCTCTCTTCCTTCTCCTGAGTGCCCTTTACATCTTTTCTTTCCTCCTGCTCTTTTCCCCCACGCACCGCCTTCCCTCTTCCTCTCCCTTACACTCCGTCCCTCTCTTCCCGACCCCATTGTAATTGGCCGCATAGTTTCCCTCCCCATCGCCGCGCTCCTCAATCGCACCGAGAGCAAAACCATCGACTTTATGTAAAAATAAAACCCGAATTTCGCGCCGGCTGCAATATTCAGGGGAGGTTTTCCCTATATCCTTAGGCATCTCAGACTGCCGCCGCAGCCGACCAGTGTGCATACCGGCGACCTCGCGGATTCCCTCCTCCCCCTCTTTCTCCCCTGCACGCCCCTTCCCTTACCATTGCTCGTGTCAACCACCGCAGCTTACGACCGGCAAAAATGTCCAAACTCCGAAAAATGCCAAATAGCCCGGACACACGGGAGCCGTCTCCATCACCGCCCTACCGCCGCCATGTCGCAACAAAACGTTCCACCAAAACAAACGTTCCACCATTCCACAATCACACCAACGTACTGCCAGATGCTCGCTTACACGGGGATGCATGCTTAAAAGAGACTCATAGGCCTAAGCGAGATGGTACTCGGCGAGGAGGAGGGAGAAAGATGATGGAGGAGAGAGAGTGCAGAGAAAGGGGAAGGAGGGGAGGCGACGCTGGCAAACCGAGAGAACAAAGAACACAGATATGATCCCGAGGATGAAATAGAGACTTGAGGGTGAGGCATAAAGATCGCGCGAGGGGTGGAGGTGATGGTAGGGGGGCGGAGAGGGGGAGGTTCTCTTAGATGAGGCTGATGATCACCCGAACCTCCGCCAGATGGCTCGCGATGGCACACCTGTGTCTCAGCGCCGTGTAGAGTCTGCCACCCCGTCATTGCTCTCCAGCGACACTTCGGCAGACGTCTGTGTTGTGACTATTTTTGTTGTCAATCTGGACCTGCCTCCGAATTATTCTTCACATTTGTAGAGGAGGTGAATGTAGAATGAAAGAAGAAAGGACAATCAAAGCAGGGTATTGTAAACACCCCGCGCGTGCTGCAATGAAAAGGTCCATACGGCAACGCCTGACCTTTCCATAATGATGATACTAATGAAGATTGCAACGACATTAGCACTGACAAAGGCAATAAGATGGCGATGACGAAAACCTTTCCATGCAAAAGAACAAAACATGCACAGATATACTCTGAATAATAATAATAATTAAAAAAAAACATTAACGTGGGTTACTAAAATAATAATAATAATAATAAAAAGAAAAAAAATAACCGTCGAAAATATTATACATATCGATAAAACAAACAAACAAAACAGAACTTTCCCCTCACGACGCCCCACAAGGAAAAAAGTCCAGCAGTTCACAACGGAACATGCACGGATCAATATACGGTCATGAACAGCCCTGCACGCCTGCACACCTGCAATCAATACGGCGAAATCCTTCATTTGCTGGCGCTACGTAAAACCCTGCCATTTAACTATTGATCTCCTTTAGTATCATCACTGTCGTCATTGTATGATATTATTCACGCGATCTATAGCATACATTATTTTTGCTGTTGTTGTTTTTGTTATTTCTTTTTTTTCACCCTCACTAAGATTCTTCCTATTGTTATTATCATCGGCATTTCCATTCATATTATTCTTAGGATTACCGCCGTCTTACTATCATCAATATCATCATTAACATAATTATCAATATTCTCATCCCCAGTATTTACCTATTTATCAAATTATTCCTTCCGCGAGTGGCTGGCGTCTGAATTTCCTTGCAAGACGCTGGAGAAACTCATTAATTCCCGTGTCCCTTAATGAAGGCTGATCCTTTTCCCAATAAGAGATCCTTGAACCCGCGGTGCATTCATAACATTCAAATTTCTCTCCTTCTAAACCCCCTTCCCCCCCCCCCCCTTTTTCCTTTTTTTCAATGACTAAGAGCAAACTGATCTAATTCTATGTTGATTTTTAATAGGTATTTATTTATTTTTTTAACATTTATATATTTTTTTTCTATTTTTTATTTTATTATTTTTTTGGGGGGGTGCTAATATTACATGCTGGTGGTGGTGGTGGTGGTGGTGGTGGTGGTGGTGATGATGATGGTGATGATGATGATGATGATGATGATGATGATGATGATGATGATGATGATGAGGAGGAGGAGGAGGAGAAGGAGGAGGGTGGTTGTGGTGAGAATAATGATGATGATGATGATGATGATGATGATGATGATGATGGCGGTGGTGGTGATGATGATGGTGATGATGATAAGGATGAAAGAAAGAGGAGGAGGAAAAGGATAACTAAAAAGCTTATAGTCCAGATATTGCCTCCCTCCTCTTACACACACACTGCAGCTGTCCCTACCGCATTTCCCATTTTCTGCCCTGGATAATGTAACCAATACCCCCTGAAATAAGCAATAAGAGTTAGGGTGATAATCCCATCGTGCGGGGAATGATCACTTATCACCCGCCCGTCGACTAGGTGGGGGAAACCTACGACAAAATTTCTCATATACGAGTTTCTTCTTTTCTCGTATGTACCATCACCATTAAAAAAAATAGATGCTTCAACACGCCCTTCGAGTGTCCTTCACGCCAAGGCGAGGAGAGAGTAAAAACGTCAAGTGTAGATTATCCGTAATATTGCAGCTGAATAGGTATCGTTTCACCTGCATATGGAGATTTTCTTTCAATCTTAAAAAAATATGTACATAAACATATACTATGAAAGGTTACTATCTAAGGTTACAATTAAAAAAAGGAACTTTATCACCATGTTTTACAGTCGTCTCCTTTTTTATTATCAGTATTTGCTTCCATTACTATTACTTAGGTCACGGACGAAAGGGACTAGAAAAAATAATAGAGCAATCATTAAGTGAACCTTGACGATCCAACTCAATACGTTACCTTCAGTTCCCGGTATGGGAGGCGGCGGCCGCTGCGGCGGCGGCGGGGGCAACGGCTGGCAGTAGTTGCTCTCCAGAATGTACCCACGATGGTGCATCGTGTTGTTGTAGTTCTGACTCGGGTACACCGGGCTGGGGTGGACCGGGGTGGGGTGAATCGGGCTGTTGTAGCCTTGGTTGACGTGGACCGGGCTGTTGTAGCCGGAGCTGTGGTGCACTGGGCTTTGGTGGGCCGGGCTGTTGCATCCTTGATTGGTGTGGATTGGGCTCTGGCGGACCGGGCTGTTGTAGCCCTGGTTCACGTGCACCGGACTGTTGTAGCCTTGGTTGACGTGGACCGGGCTGTTGTAGCCTTGGTTAGGATGCACAGGGCTACAGTGCGCGGGGCTGCAGTGTGCAGGGCTGTGGTGGATGGGGGTAAAGTGGTGCGGGCTGTGGTTGACTGGGCTGTTGGGGCCTGGGCTTTGATGGGGGCTCTGGTAGGGGCTGTTGTAGGTGCTGCTGTACCCATACGGAAGGTGGTTGCGGGCGTGGGCGCGGCGGTGCGTGGCCGGCGAGCGGGGCTGCGGCTGGTGGTGCACGGGACTGCCAGGGTGGTGCGGGGGGAGGGGCGGCGGCGTCGGCTGGGTACGGGCGTGAGTAGGCGTGTGCGGGCGCGAGGGCGGAGGCGGCGGGGGATTGCATGCCACGTGGGTCCAATAGGGACACGCCTCCCCCTCATCCTGCGGTTCGGGGAAGACGGTGTCCAAGTGCGGTCTGGGAGCCCCGTCCTTCTTGCCCTTCGGTTTCCAGTTAAACAACTTCGTGCAGAACATGGGCGCCATCTCGCTCCGTCGGCGTTCTCACTGCTGGCTAATGCTAAATAAATAATCAGTGAGCAGAATCCTTTACGCTCACGGACAGACCTCCTTCTGTTTCGCGGTGGAATCGCGGTGGCCTCTCAGACAACTCCCGCCAGCGGCCAAGAGGCTGCAGACTGCGCGGCGTCCGTCGGCCCCCGTGACGTCCCGAGCGAGCTTGCACCAGTCATGACGGCCATCCCCAATCACAGGAGCAATCTGCATTCGGTCGTAAAATTACCCAGATTTTGTGTATCGGCCGTTCATACACGTCTCCCGGGACCGTGTATCCCAATGATCACAAAATATCTAGCTCGCAATATTCGTCAAACACACTAATCTGTTGCGCAATAAATCTTGGCGGAAATGAAATGTTCCCGTGTCTCATTTTCTGGAATAACAACCATTACCGAACGTCAATCATGCGTCGAAGGTCGCTGCGCCATACGGCCTTAGCAATCATACCCCGGGTCTGTCGACGGGCACCAGTACCCTCCCCGGGGTAGGATGAAAGGCGACGATCCTGTAGGACAGGAGTCAGGCTTCTGTCATGAGGGGAAGGACTGTTTGGCTGGTGGACAGAGGCAGGCCGCGTCCTCCCCTCACAGCGGCGTCCTTTCCTCGCTGCAATTGGGGGTTGCTAGGCGCTGCATACGAGGGAAGGGGAGCTCGGCTCTATTGTGCCTCTTTTCTCCTTTCAGCTCTCCAGTTAGTGTTTTATTCTTGGCACTCCGGCCATTCACGGTTATTGAGTCACACGCAGATAAAAAAGAGCGAATCACAGAAAGCACCTTCTCTCACGTTCTCATCCGACCCAAGAAAGCTCTGGGAAGGTTCTATTCCTGGCATTCCATCCGCCTTGCTCATGACTAGCCGCTCATCCAGTGAATAGTTACATTCAGCGAGACGCGTGCCCCTCACCAGCAACGTCGGATCTATCCACGCCTTTCAAAGCTGCATCGTAGACCTGTGCCCAGGTATAGGCCATAAATTCCGCTTCGGAATATCATGCGGAGTTCGTGTCCCTGAACAAGTTTCTCGTTCTTTTCTGCAGAAACACAAGTCGATATTCTTTTCTTTTCTTAATGCTCACGAACTCGACTCAAAACATAAAACAATGTTATTTTTTCACTAATTAATCAGTTCTGCTTTTGGCATTTCGGGTCTGCAATAACAAAAAAGTTAACCATCGCACAAGAAACAAAAATCAATGAGTCTACGACTCAAATTCATGTAACGTCGAGACGGATTCCCTCCCAGCGGGGGGCGACGCGCGAGGCCCTCCGAAGGCCTGATTACTATTCCCTCTCAAGTTTCCACGGTTAGTTTGCTTTCGAAGGGGTGCTGCTACGTCCACACTCTGGGTCCTCTCGCCGCTGGCCTCGATTAAACGACTCGATGACTTTTCCAAAGTAACTCGAGCCTCAGTCTGACATGACCCCGCAACCCGACGCGGAAGCGGAACGCAAAAAGTTTAGTGAGGCTAAATAGTTTTGAGTAGTTTAAAGAGTTCCTTTAAGTAAAATTACAATTCTGTCCATTATCCGACCTTAACGCTTATTTTCGTGTCCAGGGTCAGGGCCATACTAAGTCACTCATTCACTGCCACTGCCTTCGAGAGCCTCTTTTCAATTATTTTTTCTTTCCTTTTTGCATGAAAATGGTGTACTGCATTGATTTCACTTTAATTAAACTGACTGGGCCTCTCGGTGCCACTGACTGCTTCCAATGTACCATCGGCCTCGATTCATCTCGGGTTACTCATGCCGGGCGATTTGTTAGGTTTATCATCGATGTTTCCCCGATGAATTATCACTTACGCTCAGCTTCCCTTGGTCTTCCCCTCATCTTGATGGAAGGGAGGGGGGATGGGGAGGCAGGGGAACGGGAAGGGGAGGCGGTCGTGTTACAACAAACGGCCGCGTGACGCATCACTTTATTGGCTTGTGCGCTGTTTCCCTTCTTTATATCTCGGAATGTATTTTTTCCAGGGCATATATTCTGAGCCTTTCTAGTCTATAATATCTGAATCCCCTCCCTCCCTAAAAAAGAGCGCATTCAGGCTTTCTTAAAAAATGTCAAATATAAATAAAAATGGCGGAGCTCAAGAGTGCTGCCTGAAGGCCAATATCGCTCTTTATCCGAAATACAATTCGGTATTTAAAAAAGGCAACCTGGTATTGTCCTATTCTTGTTTACCCAGAGTTTTGCATCTACTCTCTGGCCGTTCTCTTTTGTTCTTTCGCCTTGTTCGTCTTCCAGCTTCCCTCGAATCGGTCGCGTGGTAGCTGGATCTGAGGGGAATGAATCACCGCCCCTCACTCGCGCACAGAGGGAGGTCTAACAATCTGCTACAACTAACAACGGAAACAGGAGGGGATTGTCAGTTATCGCTGGACAGTAAGTCTCGCTTAAATCATAATAAAGTTCTACAGTGTGTGTCTTTCACATCAACACTTCCGATATGTGGAGGGCATTTCGGACACGCATTTTCCTCTTTTCTTCTCCGTCACAAAATGACAGGGGGGGTGGGGGTAGGCTGCGAGCTTCCCGTGACGGAGTTCGTAAAAAAACACGAGTTCAGAAAAAGGAAACTTGGAGCTGTATCTTCATGGGAGTTTCTACAATCAAATAATTCTTCCCGTCTTGGATATGCGTGCCACGATGCGGGACCTCCTGCAGCGGCCGAGCCTGAGGTACCTGCAGGAGGCGCTGAGGGACAATCAGTGGGAAAACGAAGAGAGGAGAGGAGGAAAAAGAGAGGAGAGAGAAGGGTGAGCGTTGAGGGTGTGAGCTCGGGGTGACCGTCACTCAGGATTTGCTTTATCTGAACAGAGATGCAGCAGGCACTGGGGAGAGTCGGAGAAGGGGAAGGGGGAGAGGCAGCAAAGGAAAAGGAGGAGGAGACAAGAAGACTGACTGAGGATAAAGGAAACAGAAGACGGTGTGTAGGGCAGCAGATGGGATTCTCCCAACAAGAAAATAAAAACGAGTTCAGTAACCCAACTCTTCAGCGTGGATGATAATTCAGCTCATGAGCGCCAATTGTGAAGCCACGCGTCATTAAGGACGCCCGACGCTTCAGCACAGTACAACGGGTGAACAGGTCGTGCTGAGCCGTCGCTGTCGCACTGCTGAATTCCCTCCGAGCTCCCTCCTCTCACTTTGGCATACACGCTCTTGTGCAGGACTCATCCCATTTTCTGTCCACGGAATCTGAAAGCACAGAGGCACTGCTCGGGCACCCAGGCACGGCTAATGTTTCTCCCCATCGCGGTTACAGTCCCCTCATGAGCGCCGGCAGCAAAAGCAGCGACAGCAGAACAAAGAACATGATCAGAAGAGAGAAAAACCAGTTCAGGAGGTCACCAGGTGTGATGCTCAGCAGATATTCCCGAATTGGCCACATGGACTGCTATCGCGCTCCCTAAGGAACCCTCTAAGGACACTCTTGGCTTTGGAGCGCTGGCCTTCCCCCCAGGGTGGGATGGGACGCCCGGAAGATGCGAAAACGTCAAATTCGTTCTTGAGGGGGAAATGCTCTCACTAATAAAGTCTCTTCGATTAATACTTTTAAACGCGGTGTTTTTCTATAGCACTGAATTCACTCGTTTTTCCTGACTACAGTTGAAAAAAATGTTTAAAAATCGGATATCAAAAACATGGCACAGCCTAAATAAACGTACAACAAATGATAGGCGAGTTTCGTTAATTCAAGTATAATCCGGAAGAGGAGACGGCGTACTTTCCGCGTCACGACTGAAGCCAAACTGAGGGGAACACTACAGTGAGGCAGCAAACCTCCGATGGGTAGTCGAGTTGCCGCGTCGAGTTTTCCTCCCTAATTTTCTATTAATCAAGGCAAGTTCGATTTCATTCAGTAAAGGAAGAATGTTCTTAAATGAATAAAAAGAAGTCTCAGAAATTACATCTAGTCTCCCAAGAATACACACCAGAGTATGTAAAAAAAAAGGCCAAAATCACCACCTGGCACATCCTCGGGCGCCTCAGACTCGCGATATCCGAGCAAGCATGATTCTGTGTGTTTAAAACCCACACAGACCTACACACTCATTAACCCAATTTTGGTGTTAAATTCACCCCCAGTTTGCAGTCCAGACCCTTGTTTGCTCCCTGAAAACTCCCGTGATTTAATGGCACGTGTGTGTGTCGTTCCATATGGAGAGGGGAAACTGCCAGACTGGCCGTGCTCTTCCAGCCACGCCTTCCGTACGCAGACGCATCGATCTGGCCTGAGAAACAAATTTTAGCCCTGTCGGCGCCAGAATTAATTTAATAAGACTTTACTATACAAGATAAGGCAGTGCAAAAAAAAGATGCTGCAAAGATTACGTCAAATCCAGTCTCGACCTGAAATATACACTCATTCCCAGCCTACGAGACCGGCTGTGCATGTCGAGGTGGAGGTGCATGATAACAGTTATCTTGTATCATCTGTCATGCATTCCTGAGATCGTCATGAGACGGGCAATATGACGGATGCGGCAGACGGGCCCACAAAATACTACGACAAAAATACGGGCAAAACTGACGCAACTTAGACCATAAAAACTGAGCACAATGTCCCGAACAATGAGGCGAGAGGCCCAGCGTAAACACTGCAATTGTGTGGCAACAATGGTGTGGAGGCCGTGTAATGGACAGTGTTGCCATGATCCTGATGGTGACTACACTGGGTCATGCACAGGCACATGCTCCTGCACGGAAATGGGTAATTATGGAGAAATCTGACTTACCCTATACGCTCACCCTCGCGGGCCGATGGTTTCGTAAAGGCAGAGGTGCACAGGCTGAGGCGCGCGGGCATTGCATTCAGCAGTTCATACAGACACACAGACTGATGAATACATACAGCACACGCGTGCACGTGTGTGTGTGTGTGTGTGTGTGTGTGTGTGTGTGTGTGTGTGTGTGTGTGTGTGTGTGTGTGTAAGTGTGAGTGTAAGTGTGAGTGTAAGTGTGAATGTGAGTGTGTGTGTGCGTGCGTGTGTGTGCGTGTGCGTGCGTGTGTGTGAGTGAGTGTGAGTGAGTGAGTGAATAAGTGAGTGAGTGAGCAAATTAGTGAGTATGTGGTGGGAGGGGTGCACGAGTACGTGTATGTGCAAGCATGTCCAAAAATACATACAAATGCACGTATCCGTGGATAAATACAAACACGTGCACACACACACACACACACACACACACACACACACACACACACACACACACACACACACACATACACACTGACATGCAAAATAATAATAAAACTTAAGAAAGTAAGCTAGTAAACAATAAATTTATTAAATAAATACACAAAAAAGTGCAATAATACCAAACAAACAAACAAACAAAAACATTTTCTCCTACCCCCCAAAACACACACACACACACACACACACACACACACACACACACACACACACTAGTGTACGAATGTGCACGTTAGTTCAATGAGTATGTTTCGACAATTATAGCGCAATATATCACAATACCATTATCTTCTCGATCGGGACTTCAAATAAAGAGCAAACACACAGAGTGAATAATTTTGTACAAACATTTCTCTTCTCGGTCAACATCCTCTCTTAATCGCTCGTTTTCCATTCAAGGTCAGCTGATTTGCATATCAAGTATCTCATAAATAAATATCCAAAGAGACGTTTATATTACTCCCCGTCTGAAGATTTTAAAAAATCCCTCCACAAAGCCTAAATAAGGGAAAACAAAGAAAGAAAAAAAAAAAAACGTCAAAAAATACCTGTGAAAATCCTCAACTTATATATACATAAAAAAAGATAACCAGAGAGTGTATATACTCTGCATAACCCCCCCCCCCCAAAAAAAAAAAAAAAAAAAAAAAAAAAAAATCAACATTTTTTTTTTTTTCTCGAGGACATTATCGCGTACGACGACTCCAGGGGCCGCGATGACGACCTCTCAGGCCATTCAATTACGCCTCTTGTGTGTGCAATACTATCACGCGGATCAATAGCAGCCACAGCTTATCGTGTGGTCGTGCTGGCTGCCCCCGACGCCGCCGCCGACACGACCGCTTTGGCCATCGTCTAGGGGGCCAGGGGGGGTGGGTGGGGGCGGGGTGGGGGGATGGAGGGAGAGGAGGAGGAGGAGGAGGAGGAAATGGAGATGCAGATGGAGATGGAGTTGGAGAAGGAGGAAATGATGATGATGATGATGATGATAATGATGATGATGATGATGATGATGATGATGATGATGTTGGTGATGGTGATGGTGATGATGATGATGATGAGGAGGAGGAGGAAGAGAAGAAGGAACAGGGAGAGAAGAGTTAGAATAAAAAGCATGACGATGATAATATGATAAAGGGGAAGACGCAGTAATAGTGGAGGAGGAGGAAGGAAGGGAATTACCCCCTTCTACTCTCCACTTCAGAAAAAATAATAATCTACAATTTTTAGAAATCTGAGTATAATTTTTGCATGACTGTTGTCGCTTTATCCTTTTTCGATATTGGCCACATGCGGTGCTGTCCAATGTGCCATTTTTGGCACTCGTTGTTTTATGAAATAAATGCCACAATACGTACCCTCTCAAAATGAATCAACAACAGATTTTTTCTCATAACGCGCAAAAATCCCCCAAACTACATACCCAAACAGCCGAGCCCACGCACTAGAATCGAAGCTCGCCTCCGCCTCCGCCAGAGCACGGCGAGGGCGGGGAGGGCGAGGCAGAGGGCCCGCAATCATGACAAAGGGAGGGCGAAGAGAGTGCACTCGCGGAGAGGGATGATAAAACGCTGGATTAAGGGAGATGGAGAGCCTCGATAGACATCAATACGCCGGGTGCGAGGACGAGCGAATGCGTGCCTTCGAGTGGGTGGCGGGGTCGTCTCAGCGCGCGCGAGTGACTGCATTCAGACAGGTCCTTCACCTACAACCCCGAACGACA